ATATAATAAATGCATTTGATTGGTAAACCAAATTCAGACTTTACGTTTCAATCTCAAGTGGTAATGCATGGAATTTACGGAAAAGCTCAACTAAATAACAGCGCTAATAGGTGGGGGGCGTGTTGGCTTTGGCGATCGGCGCTCCAGTCAATCTACTCCACAGCCAATCACGGGCCCCCTCCTTGCTCGGGCCCCGGGGCTTCAGCCCCGCCTAGCCCAATGGTTAAAAAGGCCCTGTGTATAGGCCCCTTTATGCTTTTTTACTCTTTTCCAGCTTCTGTTCTGTTGTAGTATTTGTATTACATTTATGTTTGTATATTAATGCTTTGGGACAGATTTCCTAATAGCTTGGACCAGCACAATCCCTCTATTGGTGTTAAAAAACTCCTGTCAGGATTACTAAAGACATGCAGTGAAAAATTTGCAATGAAAAGACATTGACACTGTTATTTTTGTGGCTGACCTTATTGTATTTGTAGAAGATTTCCTTTCAGACACAGAATTTACGGATGGAGAGTATTTAAATGAATTAATCAACATAATTTACTAAGGTTTGTGCTAGACAATTTGCTGTATTTGTGCTATTATTTAATGCCCCAAAAATCTTTTTTTAATCCCATTTTGCACTTGACGTGTCTGTGATAGTTTCTCAGTTGTGCTGCTCTTGGTAGATTGCATTGGTCATAATGGGAAATTATCTGGCTGCATCTGTGTTCTTTATTTCACACATTGTCGGTAAATCACCCACAGGACTCTTTTCTGCGCTTTTATGGGATTGCGATAATTTGCCCTGTTAAGTAAATCTGGCCCTTTGAGTCCTAAAAATGGAACCAAATTTTATGCTGTTAATTTTATAGCAATAACAGGTACTTGAGTTGCTCCAACTTGATGTTTGGATTCAGCAGTAGATCTGATAGCAACTTCACTCCTGAATCTCCTGGGTGATTGTAGCTCAGATCCAGCTCTCTCAGGTGTGAGGGGTTTGAACTCAGAGCCGATGTCAGGTATGACAAGACTTCCTCTGTCACCATACAGCCAGACAATCTAGAGGAAGGAATCACATCAAATCAGATTACTGTGAAACACACAGAGAAAAACAGCTGAGACTTTATTCAGAATATCTTTTGTGTTCCACAGAAGAAAGAAAGTTTTTAAACTATATAAGGGTGAGTAAATGATGACAGAATATTCATTTTTGGGTGAACTGTCCCTTTAACTAGACACCTGAGTATTTCTAGTTGACAGTTAGGATTCTTCAGTCCATCACAGAGCAGCTTCACTCCTGAATCCCGCAGGTCATTGTTACTCAAGTTCAGCTCGAGCTATAGCCACACTTTCACAGCACTGATCAATGAGATCAGAAAACCTAAAACAGAAGGAAATGCAATCCTCTGAATGAATAACAAATGCACAATTGGTCATAATCAGTTTGCTTTTTATTTAAATAAATGATATGTTTAATGTAATATGTCAACATGTTTAACATTACATATTTCTGCTGAAGTCTAGAATTATTCACAATATTTTTGAATGTTTGAATATAATCCACACTGTTTTATTCAAATAACCAAACACAAAGGTAAAAGAGGACGTTCTAAGTAGAATGTTGTGCGGAATGTATGGCAGCTGGACCTCCAACCCGATCTCATGGCAATTCGTACATATTTTACTAGGTGGCTAATTCGTATGAATGCATACGATTTTATGTTTTGTGACAAATCGTACGTATTTTGACGAGTTGGCAAATTCATATGACGTACGTATGACCACCCCTAAGCCCGCCCCTAAACCTACCCCTCACAGAAACCGTACAAAATCGTACAAGTGAGGTCGTATGAATTAACCACCTCGTAAAATATGTATTAATTGGTTGTGAGATAGTGATGGGACCTCTGACTGTATTAGTTATAGGAAAATGAACATCTGCATTCAGTACTTCTGCATGTCACCAGAGGACACCCTCGCCTCACCCTTGCTGACTTTTTCATTTTATAGCTCAAAGACATTTAACCCCACATCACTGTTTACATAAATAACATTTACTTGTGGCCAGAGGAGGAACAGGTTGAGTATGCAAGGAATGTGTTACAGCAAATTCCATGGGAACAGCAGAAAAGGAAGCATCTGCAAGTTCACCAGGAAGCTCACAATGGCCACTCACCCTTTCAGCTGTCTCAAATGAAGCCCATGACACAATTTTTCCCTATACCACTTACACCATTTAAAAATAAAATGATCAATTCATTAAAAAAAATAAAAATGTAAATAAATTAATCCAACTGATAAATAGACCTATTTGTCCAATGTAAATTTTTAATGTATTTGTCAATTTAAAAAATGACTATTATTTACAGTACACTTTTAAATTAATAAACAGATAACTGAATACTTCATTTTATTTAAAAAAAAATTTTTTTATTGTGTAATATAACAATTTAACACTTCCAGAGCTTTTCTGCAGTTCCTCAAAGCTGGTATAGGCCTAAGTCTCTTTTCATTGCATGGAAACCATTTATTTGACAGTTTCCTTAACAAAATTTGTTTTCAGAACATTTTTTGAAGAAAAAAACTAGCTAAATATCGCTAAACATAGCTATACAGATAAAAAACAGTGCATTGAAATGTCTCAAAGTCCCCCCAAAATTATTAACGAATTATTAAATTAGACAAAAAAAACTCGATTTTATTACGTCATTCCTACACTTTAGATTTTACTTATATATTAGACACTTTTGTTTTATACTATTAAATTGTCTAACAAAATATCCCGTGTATATATATATATATATATCACTCTGTGACAAGAGTCCACCCGTATACAGAAATGGATTGTGGATTAAATAACTAATATAAATAAATATAAATGTTTATGCATAGTTGTGGATTTGAGATTTGTAGAAATGTTTTGGGACCTGGTATGGATTAAATCCAATGATCAAGGTTTTTCCCCCATACTATATTTATATAAGATTTAGTATATATATATATATATATATATATATATATGTATTTTTTTCAGATAAAAAATGCTTCATGGGAGTAGTAGTTCTCTGCTTAGTTGCTCTTGTCTGTGGGTATTGTAGTTCTTAATCGGGAATTTGCCATTATGAAGGTTTTTTTATGTGTTTTTTGTTTCTAATTAAGTTGAAATATCTGAACTGTGACTTCTTCAGAAGCGTATATCATTACAACAACTTCGGAGATAATGGTAGGTCTGTTTTAAAAGATATTCATTAATTGTTAAAAATCACTTTCTTTATGAAGAAAGTGGATCGGATTGTAACTTTTAATGCTCTATTACTATGTAGAGACCAAAAGTTGCACAAAACTTTAATGTTCATGCATTATTAATGTTATAATCCTTTTAATCCTGCAACTATATTGATATTGCTGATATTGATCTCTGCTTAAAGATCACGCCTATGTTGAATTGGATTAGTTTTGTACAATTTACCAATACATTTGACACTTTTGTTTCATAAATTGTTTAACATAACATGCCGTATATGTTTTCTGAAGAACTTACCAAGAACTGCCGCTCGTTGATCTTACCTTATCATCTTCGTAGCTGCCATGTTTTTTTTTTTTATCGTAGACTGTATAAAAACATGGACGTAGTGTCCGTGACGTCACCCGTAGGTTTCCGAAGAGCGTTTTTGAAGCTCAAAGTGGGCGGAGCCGGCCGTCGCATCTTGGCAGCACGTCATCGAGCATCACTCCCGGATAATCGAAAATGGGTTGCTGAAACTACGCCCACCTATCTCGACGGTGGTGACAGCAGCGGCAATCCACCTGTCACTCAAGTGGCTACGCCCTTAATTATGCAGAACTTTAAGGCTTAATATAATTGAAACGGATGAGTTATAAAAAAAAATTCACCCCCCTCACAGTTGTCATGAAGGGCAAAATTAGCTATATAGACCAAAACCACTTTTTGAACCAGGCTGTAAACATATTTTTTTCTGCTGTAAAGTTTTTTAACATTTTAACATGGGCAGTCTATGGGACTGACTCCCTTTTGGAGCCAGCCTCTAGCGGCCAGTCGATGAATTGCAGTTTTAGTCACTTCCGTGTTGGTTTCACGAGAGAGACCGGAAGGTTGCCGCTTGTTTTTTATCTGCTTCAGTCTGTTTTTTTTTCTTCTTTTTCTTCTTCTTTTTCTTTAGTCGTGTTTGACACGCGGAAGAACTGCTCTCAACGCCAGGAGGAGACGCGACTTCACTTCAAAAGGCTAAACCACTGGCCTATTGTTTCTTTAAGGACTGGGTAATATGAGGTTATTGTGAATCTCAAGTTAAATTGGCAGGAATTTAAAAATGTATTTATTGCTATTTCCCAACAAATAAGGACTCAAATAAACCACGTTTATGTTTTTGTTCAAAATGCTTTTATTCTAAATTTTTCACTTGGTATCTCCTGATATTGGACATATTTCATAAAATACAATATTGGGTAGACTATAAATAATAAAAAAAATATATATTTTCTAATCTAGAATTTGTACCTGCTTCTAGATTTGAACCTTTTTAACAACATTTTTAAAAACATTAGTTCAGGTTCGTAGCCATTTAACTTATAAACATTTAACCACTTAACTATGTTTTGGGGCACATATAGGCCAAGTATACATATAGTATATGCATATACTCAAACAATACCAAATGTATATTTCAGACGGCAAAAAAGTAGGCTATGGGTTCTGAACAACATAGGGTGTTTTTTTGTTTTTATTTTAAGGTGAACTATTTCCTTAATAGTGCCTCTAAAAAAGACAGCATTCCTTTCTATTGAGTATTGGTCCTCTTTAAATGTTGCCTCATTTTAAATAAATACTTTTTTTGCATTTGAAGAATTTCTTGGAAAACAACATCTGAACATTTTTCAAATGTTCATTTTAAAACCATTTTAACTTTGAGAGTTTCTATGTAATTCAAGTCCTCTGAAAAATAACATTTTAAATGCATTTTGCACAGAGAAGATGACGATGTTGGGAGTGTTTCTCAGCACATGCGAACAAGATCACTTTTTCTGCATCCCACTTTACAGCACGTGGAAGGCAGCGCTTCATAGGCCTCTCTTCTTACTCGATCCATTCCTGCAGAGGTCAGTGACTCCACATCAGTCCCGATTTCATAACCTGTGTAAAATCAAAGACAGGTACTGTACATGATTTCTGTTTCCTCCACAGTCAATGCTGTACAGGGGATGACTCGGGGGTGTCAGAATGCAAAATTCAAATCTCTACAGCAGGTGGCGCACAAGAGCTGACATTGAATCAGCACAGTTCTGCTACTCCTGCTATTTCTGCAATGGCTTTGTATGACAGAAAGAAAACGCAAGAGTAGAATTCATTTAGTATTCTGTTCCAAATTCAGCCAAGATTTAATTGTAAGTTTTATTCTGATTGCATTATTGCATAATTTCAGTGGGTCTTGTGAGTTCCTATCTACAAAGCTAAAAACTACATTTAGTTATGTGATCAGAGCATGCAAAGAAACTGTAATGTAGATTAAATGGAATTAGATTTGTAATCAGTTCTTTACAGAGTTTTATTAATGTTTGTTCTCAATTATGTTTTAATGTATTCATAATAGTGCTGTCAAACGATTAATCACGATTAATCGCATCCAAAATAAACGTTTTAATTTAAATAATATATTTATGTGTGCTGTGTATATTTATTATGTATATATAAATACACACACATGCAGTATATATTTTGAAAATATTTAAATGTACAGGTGCATCTCAATAAATTAGAATGTTGTGGAAAAGTTCATTTATTTCAGTAATTCAACTCAAATTGTGAAACTCGTGTATTAAATAAATTCAATGCACACAGACTGAAGTAGTTTAAGTCTTTGGTTCTTTTAATTGTGATGATTTTGGCTCACATTTAACAAAAACCCACCAATTCACTATCTCAACAAATTAGAATATGGTGTTCCTTCCTTCTGAGTTGACTACTGCGGTTGTTTTGCTGGGATGTTGCCTGTGGAAATCACCAAGCAGAGAATTGTTAGAAATTGAACAGGTATGTGTGAAACTTGAGAATAAACATACATGCATGTGTTTGTATTTATATATACATAATAAATATACACAGTGTACACACATATATTATGTAAACAAAAACGTATTTTGGATGCGATTAATCCTTTGACAGCACTAATTCATAAAAAATATTTGTACTCTTTATATTTTGATTTTATAATAATATTATATTTATCATTTTATAATATTTTCTTAACATGTAATATTTATTATATTTTATTACATTTCCATTTCTTAATTTTTGCATTGTTGTATTACAATATGTACTTAAACTATTAGATTATATTATTTTATTTTATTTCACTTACATTATTTTATATTATGTTCTATTATATTATCCATCTATTGTCCAAAACGCTTGTCCCGTGTAGGGTTACGTGAATGTTGACGCCTTTCCCTGTAGACAGAGAATATTATATTATATTATATTATATTATTAAACTATTATATTATCCATCTATTCTCTAAAACGCTCGTGTAGGGTCATGTTAAAACTGGCGCCTTTCCCTGTAGACAGAGAAATATTATTTTATATTATATTATATTATATCTGTAAAAGGCAGGCCACTAAAACTTTATAACATAATACATTTGAGACACTATCTAAAATTTCAGTAGTTGGTGTTGTTACAGTAATAACTACCAAAAATCTAACAATAAGAGTTTGTTTTCTGCTCTCACTTACATTGGGATGAAGACTGATCAAGCAAAGTCAAAATATATACTGACCATTTAGGGGGTCCTCGGTTTGGCCCCGCCTCCATCTGGAACCCCCACACGTGTAGACGACCGCCCGAAAAAACTCACGGCCACAGAGTCTCAGAGCTTTCTGGGCCTGGACCGAATCTGCCCACGTGGCCAACACCAACAGCACCGCCAGCAGCACCACCTTCATGGCTGGAAACAGAGTCAAAGCAGTGCCTTCTGCCGAGCTTATGGAAGTCTTTTGTTTCCTGACCTCGGAACGTCTTCATTTATATACCACGGAAAGCGTGATTTATGTGTTATTGACGCACTTCTTTTCCGTGACCTTTTAAATGAGGCAAAATGACCCACAAAGCAGAGACTTCCATTTGTCAAAATGGGTTTGTTGGTTTTAAATAAATAGATGATACACAAACGGAGTATCAAAATACAGCTAATTTAACAAAGTGGCGTGAGGTCTTTGTTTTATTTGCTACAGCAAAGTGCTCTTTAATGATGTTTTAGAGATACATGCCCATAAACCTGAATATCGCAAATTTGAGCATGTGTCACACCAGCATTATGGAGTGACACCAGGATAATGACAGCACTTACTTCCTCCCAAACCTTGTTAATTTGACCTAAAAGGCTGAGCACCATAATGAGCCGATTTATATCTGGCTGGCAAACACTCTGTTGCCAAGTGCTTCCACACAACATCGCGGTTTACGGGATAACCCTACCATCCTGCAGTATTTGCCGCAGGCTTTCACGTCTTAGATTGAATTGCAGTCATTCCTAAAGGAAACTTCTATGAGTCATCAGAAGATACAGCCTACACCTAATCCTTTCATTCTGCGTCATTTGTTTTATGTAGCGTGTCAATTAATTTTATGCGGTTGTTCATAAAGCAGCAGCAACTGAGTGACAGTGTGGCTTGCTTTTGAACAAGCGGATGTGAGAGTTGAACTCATTTTGAAGTCGGCCACTGGAATTAGGACAGTTTTGGCTCTTTGTAAAGCTATTTTAACTGAACAAGTGCGATTTTCCCCCCCCGTGTCGTTTCTAAAGCTCGTATTTGTTGTTATTGTTGAAAGAAGTATACTAATAGCACACTTGAATAAACTTCTTTTTCGTAAGGGCAGGCAGGGCATAGAAACAAAAGAGATGCTGTAAAACCTTATCTACCATGTTTATAGACAAGAAGTTGTAAAATATGTACCACTACATGATCACTCCTAGTCATTCTGGCATTCAACACAAGCACTTAACTTAGCAGTTCTTAAAATCTTAAAATGCTAGTTTACCAGCAACCTGAGAGAACATTTATATTTTGTTTGTCTGTTTGAGTTAGGAAAAATCAGTGATAAACACTATAATATTGACATTACTAAATTAAAGTCTGAATTTCTCGTAACTGAAGTGCCCTGGGTCTTGTGAAGGCCTAAATGTAATTTTTTTAAAATTTTTTTTTTTTTTAATTCGTAAGTTGGAAAATCCGCAGGTACATAAATTGACAGAAAGGCAAAAAAAAGTAGGTTGTAAAAGTTAATTTTGTAAGTTAAAATCCAAAAATGCGTCAACATGGGTTCCAGTAAATAAAATAAAATAAACCTGTATCGAGTTTATTTCTACTGCTGAACACAAAAGACAATATTTTGAAGAATGTTAACCAAACACTTGTTGGTAGTATTTGTTTTAGTCAATACCAGCAACTGTTTGGTTACCAACATTCTTCAAAATATCTTTTTTTTTTTAGCTATATAGATGTCCAAACTAAATGAGTTCCCTTCTTGAACCCTTAATGCATAATGCCTTTTAACCTTGGCAATGTAATGACACTTCAAACAAAAGACACACTGAACAAAACTGTCGTTTAAATGAGGTTGACGTAAAAATGAGGGTGGAAACACCGAGAGTCTCACGCGATCCAATAGTTGAAATTCCATCTCAAAGTTCAGTGGAAACGTTGTGTGGCCTAGTTCTTCAGTTCAAACCTGTAAGTATGTTGTCCTTTTCAAACATAAAGGAGGTTATCATTATTAGAGGTATAACTGCTCAAGAATGTTTATTTCATAATCCAGACTAGTCAAGTTGAGTAATTTCAGATGTGTTTGTTTGTTCACCAGGGGGCGCATTGAAAACAGGTTCCCGCTGTAGGTCGAGCTCTTGTTTTTGAAGAGCTCTGTCACTCTGTACTGCATTCCTAGAAAGCCATACACTCCTCACTCAGCTGACAGTCTTGGCAGATACCTTCACGCATAAGGTGGGGTTTACTCTAATGTTCACCTAATGAAAATACCCTGTATTCAACCTGCTGTGACTTGCCTCAACATACTAGATTGTAATGTCTGAGGTGAGGGATCCAGTTTTGCATGTTCTTCTTTTCCAGTAACTATGTCGCTTTAATTGCTTTGTACAAAACATTATACGCTAACAGATGCCTATACACAAGAACACTGATATTTACCACCAAAATGGAGCATTTATGTTAATCATCAAATCAGCCCTCCTTGTCAGTTTTGCTGCTGTAGGATCAATATTGGACTTCATATGATATTAAGTACACCGTGAACTTTGAATAACCTCAAAAAGATGATCAGTTTGAGCTTATACTGGTGTGTTTCTGGAAGCGGAAGTAGTGATATATGGTGTAACAGGTTTATGACCGAACGCTGGCCAATGATAAGCTGTTTACTCGAAGTGCGGAAGTGTCCGAGCTAAAGATAGCTGAAGTGAGCACTTGCAGAAGCAACAAGTGCTGAGCATATCACTTCTGAGCCTATATGATCACTGCTGAAGGCCTATAGATGTCTTAGGTTGATATGACTTTATAAAAACTTTCAAAAAGCACATAATATTATGCTTAGGATCATATACTTAATGTAGATTCACGTTGTTAGAAATATGCAACAGTGATTCAGTTAATTGTTCATACATGCATGTAATTATATAATATTTGTTAGTCACTTAATAACGAAATTATCAGGTAACACTTTACAATAAGGTCCCATAATGTTAGGTGGCATAGAGGAGAAACAATAATGTACAGTATGTGGAAAATAATGTTTTTTTTTAACTTTAAACCGCATAAACACATTTCATTACACCAAATACACAAAATAATGTTCTTTTTAGCAGCATCATATGACCCCTTTAACTAAAATGATCTAACAATTAGCAATTCATGATTTGATCAATCTTTGTTAATGTCACTTAATAAAAATACAGCTGTTTGTTGTCAAGTCATCTTAGGACCATTAAATAATGTTAACAGATACAACTTTTAATTTTATTAATGTATTAGTAAATGATCAAATTAGTTCACCCAAGAATGAAAATTTGCTGAAAATTTACCCTCAGGCACTTTTAACTTCAAATGAGTCCTCTATCCATAATATTGCTTTCTCCATTAAAAAGGTGTCTCGTCTGAATCAGGAAAGAAATATGCACAGATCAAGCACCGTCATTGTCATCGGAGAAAGCATTATTATGGATTATGGACTCTGGCCAGAAGCAATAGTATAAAGTTAAAAGACATTAGTTGATGGACTGGAGTGGTGTGGATTACTTGTGGATTATTGTGATGTTTTTATCAGCTGTTTGGACTCTCATTCTGACGGCACCCATTCACTGCAGAGCATCCATTGGTGAGCAAGTGATGCAATGCTACATCCAAATCTGTTCTGATGAAGAAACAAACTGACCTATATTTTGGATGGCCTGAGGGT